TGAAATTTATATAATTAAGATTTTTAAACTTTTCTTTATTTAAAATTTAATTATTAAAAAGTCATTAATACAAATATTAAATTAATCTAATATTGTACAATAAAAATAATTAAAACATGTGATGATTGGGTCATGATGAGGACAAGTAATAGTAATTGTGGATAATGATTTATAATAGTGTTGGCTAACTATATAGTCATGAATACTAACTATTAATAGTAATCCGAGTTATACATTGCCGAAAAATTATACTAAGAATATAATTTATAAAATCACAAATAAGCATAAAAGAACGATTAGATGTAAAGTTTACATAAATATATATAAATTATACTAAGAAAATCTCAAATAAAAAAGAAAAAAATGATCACAAGTTTACATTTAAGTAATATCACCCAATTCTTATTATTTCCCTTTTTCTCTATAAAATTTATTTTTAATATTTAACTTTTTGAAGTTCACATATATTGATTTCTTAATAAATTTCATATTTAATCTAAATATTTTTCATAGTTTCTCTTCTATAAAATTATGTGATTAAAAAAATTCTTTTTATTAAAGTAATTATTGATATTAATATGTAATTTTATTTTAATCATTTTCATAACCGCGCGAAACGCGGCTAAGTACACTAGTTAGAGTATATTACTAAATGTTTACAATAATTACAAAATGATGTAAATTCAAGTTTTTCCTAAATCATAATTTCTATTTATATTTATGGGAAAATTTAATTTTTATATATTCTAAAAAATGAATTTCACTTCTTACGTGGGGATCGTTTGGTGTGATGGATAAAAAAAATAATTTTGGACAACTTTTTTATATTCCTCAATTTTTTTGTTTGGTTACAAAAGCGTGAAATAACTAATCCCACGAATAATAATTACGACTCGAATCAATGACTAATCCTAAAGTAACTTATATTGAGAATGTAAACTAACAAAATTATCCCCTTAAACCCTCTTTCATAAACAAACAACTCATTCTTAGGGAGTATCTTTATAAACACATTTATTCTAAGAAATTTTGTCATGCATACTTGATAGACCTAACAACCAATAAAAAATAAATTTCAGCATAACTAACGGAGGGCGCTTAGGTTTGCAGAAGATAATCAACAAAAAAACAATCCTATTAAGTTTTATTTTAATTTTACAAAAATAATAGTAAAATTACGATTTAAAATATTTTGTGCAACTTTCACATATAGCAAACAAAAAATTCATATTTGTATGTTATAGCAAAACTTTGTATAATTGTGCTCCATAGTAAACATAAAACTGTATAATTTGCTATACATATACAATTGTATAATCCGCTGGCCTATTTCGCTGCAATTGTATTATTTGTTTTTCATACAGTTGAATCGAATTAAAATGTATGTATATTGCATAATTATAAGTGTATAGCAAGAAGAATATATGTTTTTCTCGCTTTATACAAAAACAGAAACACAATATATACACTTCTGTTGTATAAGGCTAGAGAAAATTGTATTTCACTGCAATTGTATAATTCGCAATTGTATAATTCGTTGGCATTTTTCTCTGCAATATTTGAAGTAAAATGTTTGTAAATTGTATAATTAAGTGTATAACACGAAGATATATATTTTTGCATGTGTATATATAATTTTCTCTCGCTTTATACAAAACAGAAACAGAATTATACACTTTTGTGTATAAAGCGAGAGAGGCGAGCGAGAATGGAGAGTGGCGAGCGAGATTTTTGGGAGAGAGACGCTGACAAATTTTAGCTAATGTTTGCTATGGAGCACAATTTAATCAAACCCTAGCTATTCCATTTAATTTAGGTTATTAGTTTGCTATTATATACAATTTTCCCTTTAAAATATATACAATTTTTCCTTTAAAATATATGTTGAAATGATTTTCTTAATATTGGTGCATTGTCACAAATTTAATTAATATGGAATAAAAGAAAGTAATTTTCATAAGCAAACAGTTCCTTAGTAAAGTGGATTTACCCCTGTTTTTTACCCCGCAAGTCACCCCACTAGCGACACCCATCGACTCAGCTTTACTTTGTCGCCATCGACGAGATACAGTTCGCCGGAATCATGTGCCATCTCCGGCAATTCATTTGCTTCATCTTACTTGCTTTTGCTCTCTACACTTCTCTTCAGGTAGAACCATCATATAGAAGTGAACAATACAGTCTGCTTTTGCTTATTGTGATGTTAAACCCTAACTTATTTGATACCATTCTTTACAGGCTGAGGTTCAGGCTCAGGAAAATCTCTCCTTAACAACGAGACCCACTTCCCCTTTCTCGATCGCTCTCGAAACCCTTCAAAATCAAATCCAGTAAATTTCTCCGACTGATTTTAGTTGTTCTGTTTAGTAAACCAAATCCTGGTTGAAAATTGAGTCAAAATACGTTTGTATTTAGGTACACATTTCAGGATGTGGAGTTACTACGACGTGCTCTGACGCATGCATCATACTCAGGAGAGAACAACAGAGCTTTGAGCGTTTTGGGGGAGAAGGTAATTGAAGGTTCGGTTTCTCTGCAATTGCTTAGCAAGGATATCGATATATCACCCAAGGATCTCAACCGGGTCATCATGGATCTGTCTTCCAATGTGGTAACATCATGCGTTGCTGACGGAGGGCGCTTAGGTTTGCAGAAGATAATCAGGGTTTCTAGGAAGACCAATTCGTCGGCTCCTGCAGTGGTTTGTGGTGCTTTCAGGGCAATGTTCGGAGCTATTGCGATTGACAAGAGTAGCTTGGACAGTGCGGGGAAGGTATTCTTGACAATTCATGGGAAAGGCATGGAGAAAGCTATGGCAATGTAAGTATTCAACTGATTGTTGATGGTTGTTGATATATTTCTAGTTAGAGGGAACTTTGTGTATTAGTATGTGTTGAAGACTAGCCACTCTGTTTTAAGCTTCGTATGCGCTGTGTAACTAGTTGACTTTGTAAGACTTAAACTATGTTGCGTATCTAAATCATTTGTGTGCACTGCAACTGGAATCTTTTTCTTTATAATTGAGAAATTCGCGAGGTTTAGTGGTGCATGATACAAAATACTGTGACTTGAACCCATGATATGTGCCTAACACCACAACTCGTGTTGCATTCTAACCACTATACCAAATCTCCGATGGCCACTGCTATTGGAATATCTTTTGAGCTGCAAAACTAATGTACAGATTGACATGAGTCATCTGGGATGATTGCATGCCCACTGTCTAGCAATCTATTATTCAAACAAAATGTTATTTATCTCAAAAAGATCATGCAGGCGTTATACTTGAGCTTTTAAAGCAGGTATTCTCAAGTGGAAAAAATACACTCTTCTCTGTGCTAATAGTTAGAATGTATTGGAAGCAAATTCCATTGTTCCATATTTGGTTATAGGAGCAGTAGTTTGACATGGATTTTATCATGTGATCACAAGATTTGTTTAAGTAAACGAATAATGTCTTTCCTGTTGAATTTCCAATTTATCATATTTAGTTTTGTTTTTTTCCTACTAATCTGGTCAATCAATATGTGTGTTGTGTTGTACATGTGTTTCATTATTTTGATCATTTCGTAGATCAGGCTTCTATTACTATGTGAATCACTGAAAATGACTGGGCTCTGTGTGTATAACGCGATGGAGCAATAGTTTACATGCACTACTCTATACATATGCCACTTACACTTGATAAATGTTTTTCAATATGTCCTAGCACTACTCTAGTACTCTATTCTAACATGAGTTGCCTTGCCTTCTAATTTTAAAAAAATCCATTGAGAAGACCGAGGTAACATGAAAAAATCACAATTATTCTTGAACACATTTCATAAACGAAGGTGTTTTGCGATAGCACTATTTTGTTCAAGCAGTACATGAAGTTTATGGTGAGTCAATGGGCAATCATTTTTCTGATAGCATTTGAGTTTGATAGCACTTAGTTACCATCTTTGCGGGCAAAGTATGTCTTGGTGCTGAGACCTGATAGGAGCTATTGCTAGCTCGGGTAAGTATATAAATGTCTTGTTTCAGGACTTAATCATCGACAGCTTAAACATGTCTTTATGTGCTAGAAAAGATTAATCAGAATTCAGATTTACACTTTTGTTGACAAAAAACAGAAGTCGGATCTTTAGTAATTCTTGTGGAGTATTCTTGCGTTTATTGCAGATGTAGTTTTATGTTCCCCTTTTTTTAAATCTCTGGTAGAAATGACTAGACTTTTGTTTTCTCACTATGAATAGGCTATTGGGCACCATGTAACTCATATGTGTATAGCAATTAGGTTTATATAAGAAATTGTAATAGCATTTGGGTGTTGTCACTTGCAGCGTGGGTGTTACCATCTACTGTAGGTATTTGTCATCTGTTGGTTGGACCAAGAACTTTTAAGTTGTATCAAAATGTGCAAGATTCTGTGATATTATAAGCCTTCTTGCCTTCGAAGTACTTCTCCACTCGTGGTTAATTTTATGCACCCACAAGTTGGTAGTGTGTGCTGGTGCCATCTTTTGGCATCAATCCTGAGTTGGCAAACTAAATCTCATTTGCAAGTTGGTGAAGTTTAAAAGATTGATATCTTAGTAATGTCATTGGGATTTGACATCACCTGATACTTTAGGCATGTCCATCTCACTTTTCTTTGGGTTTTCTGTCTTTGCTAAGCATGAAAAGCCATCTCATAAAATTATCAACACGTTTTGATGCTTTAAAGTTAGGCACCTCCTCATTTGTTTGTCATCGTAAACTTGAGCAAACCTTGACTTCATTTGGTCGGGAATCTGATTATATATATATTTATAAAAAGGTCGGTCATTGATGTCACCTTTTTTTAAAAAAAAAATATATTACAATATAAAGGCTATCAAAAGATTCACAAAAAAAAAAAAACGTTGAGCAAGAATATAGGTCCCTTGTGTAAGAAAAAGACGATTGATTATCCACTCAAAAAGTTAGTACAAAAATCCTTGATTCTTTGTGCATGATGCCTAAATATTTGTTGGAGACGCGTAGCAGAATATTTTGTGGCGCTCAACCCATCTTCAGTTACAAGCCTGGATATTTGTACTAAAAGCCAGGATTGATATTTTAACAATGGAAAGAATGCAACCAATTTTTTTTTCTTCTTCGAAGACAAAAAACAAATCATAATCTTACACGTAGCTCTGCCACTTGGCATGATAAAGAATTCAATATTCTTAACGTGGAACATAAATATACCTATAAAATCACTATAATACCAAATTTAAACCTATAGTTTACCAAGTATATATATGTATAGAAACTAATTAAGACGAAGGGAGGAGTGTGATAATTAGATTGAATTTATAAATTTTTTTAAAGTAAAAGCTATGGCTGAGTTGTGACAGCCATTTTGCGTAGCTGTACAATATACTCAAGTGAAGTCTCTTTTGAAAAAAAAAAAAGAATACTGAGAGAGCCGGTCATATAACTCCAAAACTGTACTCAAAGTGAGCGGTAAGGCTATAGTATTTAAAACCGGTAATTCCCGGTGCCAGTGACTCCTCAACAGTTACAGCTCTGCAAAGGACAAGTTTCGCAAGTGGATTTGTTTTATATATAAAACCCTCCATTCTCTGCCGCTGTACAATATTCCTATTTAGCTATGGAGGCACCTGAATTCTCACACACATACACCCAGCCATCGGAGGAGCGGCGTTGTTGTTTTTGCTTTCCGTTGTCGTCAGGCGGCGGCTTGAAATGGTGGCGTAAGGAACAGACTGAAGAAGTGAAAGAAGGTTCTGTTTGGGCTAAAGGGATTAACGCTTTAATGAAGCTACGAGAATGGTCGGAGATTGTAGCGGGACCGAGATGGAAAACTTTTATCCGGCGTTTCAATCGGAACAAAAATGGTACGCAGGGGAAATTCCACTACGATCCTCTCAGTTATGCGTTAAACTTCGACGAAGGTACTATTAATGGAGAGGAGGATGAGTACGGGCTCCGGGATTTCTCGACGCGTTACGCTTCAATTCCGGCATCGGCTAGAGGGTCCTTGGATTTGAGCAGGGATGGCCCTAATTTCGTTTGAATGAGTTCAGTGCTGGAGAATGGAGATGATTTCTCACTTGTTAGAGCCTACAGCTCATCAGGACTCGTCATTTTTCCTTCACATATACTAGTATATATTCTAGAATTAGTTTATACATTTCAATTGGCTAATGAGTTGGTCAATTTGTGCATAAATAAAGATATTGAATGGTTAATTGGAGGAACAAATCAACTTCTCTAAACTATTTTGTTATTGTTGGCAAAATGGTTAAATTTATCCTTACCACTTGAGTAATTATGTTCTTAATTAAACTTTTAGGAGTGTTTGGTGATTGGTGGAAGTCATAAGGTATAACAATTTTAGGATAAACTATATAGAATTATTTTACTATAGTCATGAAATAAGTTATTTCACGTACACGATTAGATTGAAGTCCAAACAACCTCATAGTCTTATGTTACCCTAGTCGTTGGAACAATTTTAATTTTTATTCTTGATCCCAATGGAAGTTCAAATTTCAGGGGTAGGTTTGGAGTTTGGACCTTTTACTTCTGAATAATGTAGGCATGTGAGGTCCACTCATTCTACATTGGAACTCATTATGATTAAAAAAGAATAAGAAGAAATGCATGATGATTTTTCGATGTTAAGATTAAAACTAATAAATAGATTAAAATATAAAGTAGTAAAATTGAGTAAGTTCTAAACGTATTTGAGATATTTGGATGTTTTAGCTTTTGCGATTCCTTTATGGTCTGTAGATAAAGATTTAATGGATGAAAAGAGTAATGAAATAAAGAAATATCAAGTGATTTGGATAAATTTGGATCTTTTCGCTTTGTTGGGAGATAAAGGTTTAATGGATTAGAAAAAGAACGCCGTTCATGGAATTATCAATTTTGTAAAGTGGAGATAAACCTCCTTATCCAAAGGAAAAAGAACACAAAGTGGAGACAATTCTTTGCCTTTTTGCTCCTTTTTAATTATTTTTTTCTATACTCTGCTAAAGCTGTCAACTAGTATTGCCCAGATTTTGATTTCTAAATTAAATTATGTCATGGTCACCATTCTTTTTAATCGGATTAAAGTAGTCAGATGCTGACAAATTCATTCAAAGAAAATAAGGATATGGAGTCCGATAAGATACTACTTCCTTCGTTCATTTCATAAAGAATGTCTCTACTTTTTTTTTTAGTTTGTTTAAAAAGAATGATCTCTTTCCTTTCTTAACAGCACTTTAACTTTAAACTTTCCACATGACATGTTTAAGATCACAAGATTAAAGAATATTTTGATACATTTGACATAACTTTAATTTAAAACTACAAGATTAAAAAGTCTTCCAAGTCAAACTAGGTCATCCTTTTTAAAACGAAGGAAATATTATTTTTGGAACCTGGCAAGTGGTGGCAACTTGGCTGGGACAAATATGAATGCAAAACATTAGCTTCAATTATTTTCACACAACCGTTAGAGAAGAACATAAGCTGGTCCGAACATTACTGATATTATGCAATAGGTAAGGAATGAGGATTTTATTCACAGTGATCGACAACAGATTGTATAGATAGCATTCCTGACAAGAGAGTCTTTTTCAAGTCTTGCATTACGCACATGGAACACACATTTTCTTGGATAAGGCAGGATCAAACAACAAACTTTTGCTTTCATGGTTGAACACTAGGGGATGGTTTTTCTGGTATTATGAGACTTCATATTAAGCAAAATGTCACCAACTACCCAGGGAAAGCCCAGACAATTAGCACTTTCATGGCAGTAACTAGGATGATAAGTAACATGATACCATGCTGAAGCCAATTTCTGATGATCATCCTCCTGGCAGCAACTAGTGAACCACCCTTTGACCTCCTTGTGTAAGCTTTTGGCAGAAACCAAGATTCGATCTTTTAGTTCAAAGTACCTCCTGTTGTCCCTCTGCAGATACACTGACTTCTGGCGCAAATTGCCTGTCAGTATCTCAACCTCTTTCTCTGCTCCATAGTAGTTGAGTAAGCTGTTCATGCTATCCAAGTACATTGCTTTGTGAGTTTTAGCAGTTTCAGTGAAGGCTTCGTAACCTTCGACCAGAAGATCATGATCATAAGCATCCTGGATAGCTCTATCAGCAGAAAGGTCATCTGAGTTCCTACGAATATAAGACTTCATAACACCACGATAAAGCTTCCCTAATACCCCTTCAGAAATGTACATGGGTTTGTCCCACCTCTCCATGAAATCGGGGAACTCCCTTGGTTTTAAAAACCTGGGCATCTCAGCTGCAGCTCCAGTTTTTGCAAAGTCCACAGCCATTGAATGAAGGGTTGCTAACTGGAGGCATTTTGAATTCAGAGCTTTATCTGGTTCACGATCTGCATGAACCAAATGTGCAGTAGAGATTGCACCTAGAGTATCGCTAATCATGTAATCAACAAAAAATCTCTGAATTTCCTGCAAAAAATCAGGGAAAGAAACAAGAGGTTTTCAGAAAAAAAAGATTTCTTGATTCATGGAAGAAATAGCTCAAGCTACCTCTAGAGTGACTTCATGATCCATTATACGAGGTCTTCTCCCAGTGTAGTCCATGGGTGTCACTGTTTGACAAGGAATGAGACTTTCATCCCAGCATATGAAATAAAGATCACCATCAAGATCACCACCAGAGCATTCATTTGGATGAGGCCTGCACATGACAATTCAGTACTTTTGAGCATTAAAGAACATTTGATTCTCTTTCTGCTCAAATATTATATAGGGAACATTTCAAATCTACCTTTCTCCTTTCTGAGGAAAAATAATGCAATCCACCCAGGTCTTCTCCTCTAATGTCACCTCATACACAGCCTCAAGTACTCTTACATCTCCAGGATGAAGACAAGGATTTTTTGTGACTACAACCTTACCTCTTACTACAGCAGTTGTTTCATCCACCTTCTGGAAGAAATTTTGCTGACCATTTTGTAGCTCAGCCTTAGTCATGGTTATTCGTACATAAACCTGGCCATACTTCAATATACCTGTTTCATCTAGGCATCCTACTAGAATTCGACCTTTTGGAATGAATATACGACACCTACTTCTTAGGTCTGAAATTTGATTCTCAAAATGTGATTGAAGCATCATCGAGAGATAAGGCTCCTGATTGGGTGCGTATCCTTGGAGCAACATCCTCATTAAGATTTTTTTTACTTCACCACCACCCATGCTCTCCAAAACATCTAAAGCTGCCTCATTAGTGGTCAACATCTTGCCCAGAAGACAAAGATGATTATCTAGCAGGTCTTCAAAAGCTTTATCTTCAACTCCCAAAGTAGATAAAAGGATAACAATCTCCCGATTCAGATAGCAAGGCATGGCATCACTCCACTTGGTAATATTAAGCATCCTGTTCTTTGATTCAAATTTGAGCATACTGCCACGAAGAGATAGCTTTCGAAAGGAATTGCGGTCAACAGCTATCACACCTTTATAACCACCATATCTTATTTGAAATGCTGATGGGGTATGATTCAATCCACATTTCTGAGCAACTTGTCGGGCAAAAGCTTGGGAAATCTTTCCAATACCATCTGAGAAGCAATAACTAACACCATCAGAGGTTACTTCAATATCTGGAAGAATCTCAACATGCTGCAATTTAACCTCCATTGTTTGAACAGAGGTGCTAAACAGTTGACCCATCCTTGCAGCACATTTTGAGATACTACGGATCTTGTTGAAGCACCCCATCCACTCTCTGATATCTTCTGCCTTGACATATTCATTAGAAGCAAACATCCAAACTGAATTTGAGCGTAGCTGACTGGCCGAGAATGCCAGGAAAAAGAATCTTTTAGTTCCAATAACAATTCCTTCTCGAAGAATAGACAAAATCCGATGATAGATTTTAGTTCTATAAGGCTTTGCAAAAATACCTTGTTCAACACTCATAGAAACAGCATTAGGAAAAAGTTTACCCCAATCCTCCTCCACAAAAGTTACTCTCAAGAAATCAGAAGCATGTGATGCAAAGTTCTTAACGATGTAATTTGAGGTTTCAAGCTCTGGACCCAGGCAGTAAATCTTTGATGGTGTTACCAAGACTCTGTGAACACTCATCATGCTATGATTCACTAACCTGCTGTAGGATGATGAAGGCCGGTTCTTATTGTTTTTACCCAAAACATGCAAGCGTGTCTTGATGAATAACAAAGGGTCGAAACAGATAGACTGCAACTTATGCATTTTCTGAAGGATCATCATTGCAGTGTCCAACTCTAATTTGCTGAGAACTTCGATGAGATTTGGATTAATAGCACCAAGACTAATTTTTTGAGTCTGTACGAGGGAGTTAAGCTGGAAAAGGATCTCGTAAGGTAGCTTCAGATCTGATGGGATCCTCACAAGGGGAACAAATTCAGAACCAGAATAAATATCTCCTACTTTATCCAGATCAAGATCTATCACATCCTGGTTGCAACATGGCAAACTAGAAAACAAATCTGAACTTAACCATCCGTCTTCAGTTTCCCAGCAAAGAGAGGATGAACATCCAATAGACTTTATGTTGGAAAAATCAGTCGTGCGAATCCAAAGAAACTCACAATCTTCCTTGCAGATATGATACCTGTCAGCACTGAACTTGGAAGCAACTGCAGGTCCAGAAACTCTTTGGTATAGCTTTGGTGCATGTTTTAGCTGAAAGCAAAAAAAACTCACTCAAATGAAAAAGAACACCTTGGTTGGTTTCTTTTTTCTAATAGATATTTATATAAGATTGTAAATTTGACTCTAACCAAACAAGATATATTACATCCTGGAAGGACATAAATGGTCCATCTTTCGAGAAAAAAAGAAGAAAAAAGGTATGAATTCCCCACAAACAGTTTTTGCCTCAGAAATAAAGGTTAAGGGATAGTAAAATCTCACAAATGCCAAAATTTTATTTCAGCATAATGTTACTCCATTTACCTTCAGAGGATTTTCACTTCTTTCCGAGTTTTTGTCTCTTTTCAAGGTCATATCATAGGAATATCTTTTATAAAGTAATCACTAGTGAAAGAATGTTATCTATCATTGTTCGTTATCGCATGTATCACATAAATCAATACGAAAAGCAGTTATCCCTTTGTTCTAATGAGTAGTGGAAGAAATCAAACTCAGACTTCTTTATAAGTCAGAGACTAGTCAATGCACAATAAAAGTGTTCTTAGACCATGCACAATCCCATCTAATTTAACCTGCCATGGAAATTGCCTTATTAGCCTCAAAGTTATTGTCAAGACTTCTATTGATCCTTCCCTAGCTTT